TGGGCAATTTCCCCTGAGGAGCAGATAGTCAGGGTCACACAACCCTGTGATGCAGACACCATGTTGCTGGGGTTGTTTGCTTTCTGCCTGTAGAACAGGAAAGCCTCTTCAGTACCTCAGTCGGTGCTATGAGGGATGTGGTGAGGCGCATATGGAGGATGTGGGAGGGGTGGGCCCTGCAAGCCTCCCACAGAGCAGCTGTCATTTCCTAAGTCTGTGCATGTTCATGCTCTCTGGCCCACTGCCCTCTTCTGGAACTTGAAACCAACATGGATGTAACGATGTGCAAAGCATTCGTTGAATGGTTAACTGTACAAGAGAAAGTTTGCAAGAAACCTTGATCCACCAATTAGCTAAGTAATTGCACAGGGTAAAGTTTTAGATCATTATTTTAAACCTTTTTAAAATCATTTTTGAAGCTCAAGGAAATATTTACTGGCATTAAGCAAGTAGATGGGAGGTCCAAATTGAATGATCCCAACAGCAAATCTAATTATAAAAAGGAAATATACCAAAATATCGAAGAATGGCTAACTCTGGCTGATTCTAGTTATCTTAGTATCATTTGCTTTCAGATTAATAAAGGCCAAGTTCAATTTTTGTTTGTTTGTTTTTTTCAAGACAGGGTTTCTCCCTGTTGCTCTGGCTGTCCTGGAACTCACTCTGTAGACCAGGCTGACCTCAAACTCAGAGATCTGTAGACCAGGCTAACCTCAAACTCAGAGATCCGCCTGCCTCTGCCTCCCGAGTGCTGGGATTAAAGGCGTGCACCACCACACCCATCTGCCAAATCCAATTTTTATAATGAGAACATTTAAAATAATCCCAAGTCTACAGAACTCATCTCCCCACCAACATTGAAAGTAATGCCTTTAAGAAACTACCAGATAACACAGCAGGTGATGTAAATTCAAGGTGTTGCCGACAAGTCTTAGTCTGACAGCCTGAGTTCGATTCTCAGGTCCCACAGTATGGAAAGCATCAACTTGTTAAAGTTAACCTCTGCTCTTCAAACAGCTGCACATATGGGATGTGCACACACCGGTACACCAAAATAAATAAATGTTTTTCTTTTGTTTTAAATCTCTGGGCCACTTTGTGGCTCCTGATAGGGAAATGGTTGATTCAACCAGAACAAAATACGTTACCAGGGAAACAGGTTCATTTGAGGAGCTTCTTCTAGAGTGGATGGTAGATCCTGGATTGAATCAGAAGCACAGGTAGGCAGTTGGGGGTGAGGAGTGGGGGTGGGAGAGTAGTGTTGACCCATGGAGTTCAGCCCCAGCCTCTCAGCTTCCTGTGTCAGCGTGACCTCTTGGGAGCCCATCTCTCAGCTTCCTGTCTCAGTGTGACCTCTTGGGAGCCCATCTCTCTCACCAACATCAGCGGATGGTTCCTGCCTCCCGTCTCTTCCACAGCCCGGGAGCCCTTATTCTCCACCAGCACTAGATACCATGATAGGAGCAGGGGCCACATCATTGCATAGACTAGTCCTGCGCCTATAAAACTTGTGCTAGACCCCTAATCTTCTGGAGCCAACATGTCACTTGCAGCTGCCACCTTCAGAGTTGCTTCCTGGTCTATAAGGGCTGCCGCAACTCCAGCCACTGTGTTTGCATTGCAGGCTAGAAATAAAAGGAGACTAGCAAAAGGCAAAGAGTATGCCCTGTAATAAAGACAAGTGCTTTTTGTTCATACCTTACTGGATACAAAAAATATTAACCTGGGGGCTGGGGATGTAGCTCCCTTGGTAGTGTTTGCTTAGCATGTACAAAGCCCTGAGTTCCAGCCCCAGAACACACCCCAGAAGTCGGGTGTGGTAGTACACACATGTAATCCCACTAGTGGAGAGGTGGAAGCAGGAGGATCAAAAGTTCAAGGCCATCATCGGCTGCATGGAGGGTTCAAAGCCAGTGGGCTAGAGACTCTGTCTTAACAAAAAAGAGAAAGGTTGGGGGAGCAGAAAATGGGAGAAGAAAAGAAAGAAAAGCCTTGGCTCTGTTAGTCAGTTCAAAGAATGTTTAAAATGCTCTTATTAGCCACTCAGCTGATGGGCATGTAAGACACTTCCAACTCAGAGATAATATGAATGGGTAAGCATGTCCAGAGACTTCTTGGACAAGTCTTTTTTAAAAAATAAATAAAGTATGGCCGGGTGGCACTCAGGAGACAGAGAGATAGGCCTGGTCTATAGAGTGAGTTCCAGGACAACTATGGCTGTTACACAGAGAAACCCTGTCTCAAAAAACCCAAAAGATAAAATTAATTTTTTTAGAAAGTGTGTGTGTGTGTGCAAACACACACTCACAGTTGCTTGTTTGCTTGTATGTTATCTATGGGTGTACCTGCACATTTGTGTCCATGTCTGGAACGGCCCAGGGATGTCAAAGTCTTCCTCAATGGCTTTCCACTGTATTCATTAAGGTAGGGACTCCCAGTTGAACCCAGAGGTTGCCTAATCCAGTTTGCCTAATCCAGCCTGCCAGCTTGCTCCAGAGATCGTCTGTCTCAGTCTTCTGCTGGAGTTACAGTAAATGCCACACCCCCTCGAGTGCTCAGGATCTGAACAGCAATCCTCATACTTGAGCAATAGACATTTTATTCACAGGACCATTTCCCTACCCTCTTTTCTTTCTTTTTTTGGTGGGTGAGGTGGAGTTGGACATTCCTCTTCAGTATATGCCCAGGAGTGGAGTCTCTGGATCACAGGTTAGGCGTCCATCTAGTTGATAGAGTGGCAGACCATCTCTGGGAACAGCCACAAGCCTTTGCATTCCCCCAGCAGACCCATCAAGGATGCTTTCAGTGTATCGACTGCTTGCACATCGGATGCGAAAATCGGAAATGAGATCGTGTGTCTGGAAACTTTGCTGCAGGAGCCGTGCCACTTAGGACCCGAGGCATCAGCTAACAGGCTCTCCTGAGTTTTGTGGGACAGAAAACGCTTATCAACCTTAGCCCCGTTTCAAAGGATCAAGCGATCGTTTTCTCTCTGCCTGTAACTCAAACCACGGAGATGAGGCAAGCAAGGTAGGGTGCCTCGGAAATGGGAGTCTGTGCCAAGCTCATTCATAACTAACATTGCTTACACACAGTGCCTGTCGCCTTGCCACACGCAATGGGGAGGAGGGAGGACGTGGAAGATTCTGTTCCTGTTCTCTCGTTCACAATACAGCAGCAACGTTTCTTTGCCATGAAGGCAGGCACACAGATCTGACTTCTGACCTTTGTGTTTTATTCTGCCTACTCTCTCTGAACCATCTCAGCTGAGCCCATGGATTCAGCTGACACCACCACCCTCCAACTCATCTGCGGAGGTCCCAGAAGTGTGTTCCCCACCCACCTCCACCCTCCGGTCCCCTCTACTCCAAATTCCCATGGCTCTCATGAGTGACTACTGCTGGCTTTGCCTTTGGAGCACATCCACAATCCTGCCGTTTCTCCCATAGCCACATGTACGGCTCCTGTCTAAGCCAGATCCTCTGATCTGAATCCCTGTCCTACTGTTAGGGAGCAGTGGTCCACATTGCCAGCTCTGTTCACCCCCTTTCCTTTCAGTAATAGAAACAAGTTCCTCTGACCTCCAGGGTTCCGGCAGATGGGAGCATTAGGAGTTCACATACATGTGTCAGGGTGGGCTCTCAGTGAGCTCCTTGAGCTGTCTCTACCAGACTCAACCCCCAGCACAGGGTCTTAATACCCAAGGAAAACAGGTTTTTAGAATGGCTCACAGCTCTTCCTATATTCCTCCTAGTTCTCATGTATCGCTAAGCAGGAATAGAGAAGGCAGCAGTCCTCGACACATTGACCTAAAACTCCATTGTGTACATGAGTGATATGTACATGTCTCTGTGTTTGCACACACACATGCACATGTATGTGGAGGTCAGAAATTGATGTTGGGTGTCTTCCTCAACTGTTCTCCCATTTGCTTGTTTATTGTTTGAGACTGAACCCCAGTTGTTTACCGGCTGAGCCATCTCAGAAAGTGCTGTGTTAAGAGAACTTCCGAAGAAAAATGACTGCAGGTTCCTAGTGTGACCCTGACCAGGCAAGTCGCTCTCTGGAAGCATTCTTTAGTGAAAAAGTAAAGCATTTAACCTGTCAAGTCAAGATTGCTCAGCAGCCACAGGGTGGGAAGCTGCAGAAACCAGGCAAGAGGGATACAACCGTGTGACCCCGCAGATGCTGTAGGAGCTACAGGGCCTCCTTAGATCTAACTCTGATGAGGATGCTACGAATTTTATTGCACTTTATGCCCATGACCCTTGCCGAGTGACAACGCTGTGTCCTTGACTTTGACCCCTTAGTTCCACTTGTCCTACAACTTAGGGTTAGGGTTAGGATTGACGAGTCTTGAGTGATAAGAGCTGACTTTCTTTTACTTTATTGGTCCAGTCTGCCACCATCCCACCCCTTACCCCAGACAGGGTTTCTCTGTGTCATAATCCTGGCCGTCCTGGGACCCTTTTACTTATTTTTTTATTTGGAAGGGCAGCGTGTGGAGGTCAAGGAATAATTGTGGGAGTTGGTTTTCTCCTTCCACCACGCTGGTCCCGGGGGAGCTGAACCATACTGCGGGCTAGCAGAGCAGATTCCTTCTAGCCGGAGCTGAGACAAGCTCTCCAGCTCTGTACCCATCATCCAGCCTGTGAGCTGCAGGAAAGCACAGCTACCCGCCAGGCTGGCCTCAGTCAAATTAAACTAACGCACTGATGCCAGCCAGCCTCGGTGCTACCACTGGCGGAGACCTCGACCTAGACATAATTAATGCCCCATTGTCTCCAAGGGAGACAATCAAGACTGGGCACGGAAAGGCAAACGCAAATATCATTAATATTGTACATCTGTGCAGCGTGCAACGAAGGGAGGGGTGAAGCGGGTGCAGTCACACACCTGGTGACACCCACAACTCGGCGACGGCGACGTCGCCTCTGCTGGGCGGTGGGGGCTGCAGGGTGCGGTTGGCACATCCGGCTGGCGGGTTCCCCGGCTGGAGCTCACAGGAACCCGCTCTGAGGTTTCTAGTATCCTCGCTAGCTGTTCTTGTCACTGTCCTGTGGTGTCAGCAAGGAGAGAGGAGAGGCTTCTGGGTCGCGGCGAACACGTAGGGGTCGTCAAAGGTCCTTTTTTGGAGGTCACATAAAGCCTTTGCTCAGGGTTCCCGCCCAAAGCTCCCACAAGCTGTGCCAGAAAGCCAGGAAGAGCGGGTGAGTGCGCGCGCGCAGAACATGCCACGCCCATACAGCCCCGCCCACCAGCTGTTGGTCCCGCCCACTCGTCCGTGCGCCTGCGCCTCGCGCCCGCTAGGCGCCAGGCCCCAAG